CGATGGAGTGGCCCACACAAAATTAAATGAAGCCCTTTTCCTTTAAATCCCCCTTTCCAGTTGACCCGGTGCTGCTAACTGTGCTTGAGACATTCTTATGAAGTGACTATGCCTTACTATTTTTTGTTTATCTTCAGATTATTTACTTGAATAAAAAGAAAACAATCCCAATGTTCACAGTAGCATTATACACAATAGCCAAGACATGGAAGCAACATAAATGTCCATCAACAGATGACTGGATAAAGAGGTTGTGGTATATTTATACTATGGAATACTACTCAGTGATAAAAAAGAATAAAATAATGTCATTTGCAGCAACATGGATGGACCTGGAGATTGTCATTCTAAATGATGCCAGAAAGAGAAAGAAAAATCCCATATATTACTCCTATGTGGAATCTAAAAAAAGAAAAAGAAAAACGAAAGAAAAAGGATACTACCAAACTCATCTACAAAACAGAAACAGACTAGCAGACATAGTAAACAATCTTATGGTTACTGGGAGATAGGGAATGGGAAGGGATAAATGTGGGAGTTTGAGATTTGCAAATGTTAACCAAGATATACAAAAATAGATGAAAACAAATTTCTTCTGTTTAACACAGGGAACTATATTCAATATCTTGTAATAACCTTTAATGAAAAAGAATACAAAAATGAGTATATATATATGCATGACTGGGACATTGTGCTGTATACTAGAAATTGACACATTATAACTGACCATACTTCAATAAAAAAAGAAAACAAAACAGCAAAACAAGCAAAAATATTTGTCTCATTCCTACAGTAATCCAGAAAGAGCAGCTCTGGTTGGAAGTATAAAAAAGTCCTCAGTTATTTTAGGCCCATCCAGTAACCTCCATACACCGTCTCCCTGCGGACTCGAAGCAGCATATGGCTGTTCTTCATGCAGTTCAGGCTTTGCTGTTTTCTCTGAACCTCTAGGTTACAATATGTTTTGTGATCACTAATAAGGGCCACCTGCCTCTGGAGAGCTTCAGCCTAACCAAATGGAGAGGCTTAATTGTTCAAATTCACTCTCAGGTAGACAATATGCCCTTCATGCGTGGACTGAGATTGCTGAATAGAAAACCTAAATCAAAATAAACAATTACACTAACTGACTGTAATTGCTAAGTTAAGAACATATGTTAGTTCCATAAAAAAGAAAAAAAATTGGACCAAGAGACAATGCTTTGGAGGAAATAAAACACTTCATAATTTTCTAGGAAAAAAAAAGAATAAGCTATATGTTTTAAAATTTCTTTCACTCCATTAAGATATATTCAGGGCAAATTTGTTGCACTCATATATGCTTAATCATACACTCTTTGTGCACAAAATTATACTATGGTTGAATTCAGTCAGAAAAACTGGCTCTTTGAAAGTAAGCTGAATTCAATCCAGTAACTGGCTGATAAACGCTTACCGTTGAGAGTGTGAAATCTATTACAAGTCTCGTTTAATAGAAGGAGAGATGGAGTACCTGGGGAAGAGTGCCCTCCGCTGCCCCATCACAACGCCCACCAGCAGTCAGGCCAGATTAGGAACCTGTCTCTCGGCTGCCAGTGCAAACCATGGACACAATTTCATCTGTGTCCCTGCCTCATTGCACCAGAATTGTTGGTCTGCATGTCTGTCTATCCTTCCAGTCTGTGAGCGCACTGAAAGCAGAGTCCACATTTTCCATTCTAGTCCCAGCATTTAGCACGGAGCATGTGCACAGAATGAATTTATCCAACTCATTCAAAAATAACTGCCTAGTTGACAATACCTAACCACAGGCTACGACAAGAAAAGGAGTTACGCGCTAACCTTAAATAAAGGTTACTTTTTAAGTGGAGATACATTTGATAATGTGCTAAAGCCAATATAAAAGACAGGCAGAAATCATGGGCTATGGGGACAAATGGTCAGGATTTTAAATGAGGAGATTCTGAACTTGTGAAAGCAAACAAACACCTCTCCTAATAGGACCTTGACTTCTCTACTCACCACACTCATTCTCAGATCTCCCCTGACCATGTAGAATCATGAGACATTGGATTCATAATAGGTAATGTCTATGGATTTCATGTGGGCCAGGCTCTAGACTAAGAGCTTTATTGTATTATTTCATTTAATTCTTATTACAATGGTTTAAAGTAGGTGCTACTAATGTTTCCATTTTACAGATGATGAAACTGAGGCAAAGCACTTGTTTGGTGCCTTGCCTAAGACCTAAGCAGAACTTTACTCAGCTGGACACTTTCTAAGCAACCCCTACTCTACCTTCAAACTGATGACTGATCCAGTTCCTATGGAGATACAGTCATTCTGTTCATTCTGATAAAATTCAGAATTCAGCCCTTGACTTATGACCTCTCCTCACCGTATAACCCACTCTCTTTTCTTCTGAGAGTTGATTCTCTCTGTTTCAGTGAAGCTAGCATGGCTATCTAGTTACAAACAATCATAGTCATGCACGAGGAATAATTCTTACAAATTGTTTTGATATATTTTATGAGCGAAAACACTGTAATAAACATAAAACTTCTCATGCGCCATAAATGTACATAAAAGAGCAGCTTGAGATTAAACATAAAGTTTTATAATAAATATAAAACGTATATATATAGAGAGAGGTGTGTGTGCATATGTGTACTTGTGGGTATAATTATTTCAGTTACCTTCATATTATATATTGGCACCTGTATTTTCAACCATTGAATTTTGTTATGTAAATACTTAATCATAACAACATGAGCAGTTTGGCATTAATAAAAGTCAGATAAAAAGGCGCTTCCCTATTTACTCTTATCATATGTTCTTTGTCCTGTTTCATGACAATTTATTTCACATAGGTCCACTGTCAAAGGGTTTCTGCCAAAAAGCCATTGGTTTTCAAATCGGCATCAATAAGCTGTAGCCTCATCAAAGCTATGTTTTAATAAATGCTAATTTGGGTTGCAAGACAACAAGTGAGATTTCGTCCGGCTGCTTCACGTAGTGAGCTATAGACATGTGGTCTTACAAAGGACAACAATAGTTGCAAATATAAGCTATCTTTTTGCATTGTTGAGTGAGGAACTGTGATGATAATCGGGGAGTCATTTCAGAGACAATAAATCATAAATATCCCAGTTTTGTTATTTCTCATAATCTGCGTCTCTGCTGAGAACTTTGGTGACTGATGCTGCATAAACATAGCACTTCAGGGGCTATACTTAGACCTACGGGGTGAAAAGTGTATTAAAAATGTCAAATTGATGTCTTTCAAATGGGTTCAATCACCAGAAATCACATCCACACATGTAACACACGCATAGGCAAGAATGGTACCTCTCCCCCAACTCATGTATGTCATAAATTTTTACCTTCCAGCTAGGATAAGCCATAGCTAGGAAATGAACTTAATCATACATTTAGGAAATGAACTCGATGCTCACAGTGTTATCGTAGCTTTGAGAATCAAGAAGAGGAGACGCTTTTATTAGAGGGAAGAGTGAAAAACACACAAGAACAGTAGAACAGTGGAAGAATGTGTTTCTAGTTTATTTGATGCATTCTAAAAACACCTGGCAGCCTAGACAGAAAACACCCCTGTTGGAGTGAGTCCTCGGCCACCCAGTTCCTGTAAATAGTCCCATATTATACATGCACGAGAGATGCTGTATGAATGAACTCTGAGCTGTAGCTGAGACTACAGGGCACGCTCCTTATTTCTCTATATCAGAAGAAGCCAGTGTGCATGGATAGGACACCAATGGCTTTTAAAATATGAAATAATTCCTTCCAGTGGTACACAAATGCAGCTCCAACCACCCCGGCATCCTTGTCATGCAGCCACCGCCAGCTCTGTGCCCTGCAACTTCCTGAGCCTCCCTTACCCCTCAAGTTCAGAATTGGCTTCCTGCTCGAGAGCCCCTTGTGATTGTTGGCTGCCAGAACCAGGCAGCTCTCTCCAGTATCCTCAAAGACCTCTCTCCTCGGAGAGCATCTCTAGACACACCTGCTGGAGTTCCTCCACCAGCCGCCATCCCACGAGCCATTCCTACTTGGTCCCAGTAGGAGGAGATAGAGCCCCGGGTGGGGGGTGATGGTGGTGACAGCATGGCACTGGGCTAGTAAATGCCCAGCTGCCTAGACCCTGGGACCTTGGTTTGAGCTGGGATCTCCAAGTTGTCCTCACGTGGCCACTTGTAGGAAATGCAAAATCTGTGGGTCTTGGGCCTTAATGACACCCATAGGGGACAGGGACAGCAGGCAGCCCTAAGAGCTGTTGAAAAATCTGAACATCACTTTTGGGTGCATTAAACTTCACTGGTGTTGTGATTCAAAGAGGTAATGTGAATACAGATCATGTTTCACTTGCATCCATCAGATGTAGCTGTAAGATCTCAACTTAGGGTGTAGCAAAGGTAAAATCCACTTATTTTTAAGCCCCAACTTTATCATTCATGGCACACTTTGTCATTCCTCAGCCCCAACACACAAACACACATGCACACAGAGTACAAACTTTTGAACAAGTGAGTCCTTCAGAAAAGTGTAAAATTTCCCTAAATGTGTATTTAGTCACTGAAAAGGAAACGAGATTTTTCATCAAATCCCTACAGATATCAAATTTCTCCACAGACATTTAGGACTTGCCATAACATTTTAAAGTTGAGGAAAGAGCAAATCATACATTTTCTAAAAACGTATTTACACGAAAGTCAATTCTAATGAACATTAGTAACATTGTATCCTTAAAAAGCATCTCTCCTTGAGAACTATATACATAAAAACAAGTTTATAGGGATACTTGCTTTTAGATGAAGCTGATTGGTCCAGTGCCCAATGATTCTATATTCTGTACTTTTGTTGGTTATTTGATACTGGAAGATATCGTAACGTCCAGGAGCATCTCCATTTTCATTAAAAGTGACGGGTGTCCCAGCACTACCTATAAATGTTTAGAAAACAATGTTAATAACGTTTCAGCAAGATAGGCCACTGGGCTTATTTTTCACTAAGAAACAATGGCAGATAAAAATATATTGTGCATAGTAAGAGATATGAAGATTGTCATCCATACAAGGTCATTCTTGATAGCATAATGTCTCTGACAAGAAAAGAAGCCCAGACGTACCTGTAGGAAGAAGATGTGCTTCGTTACGCACATTAGAAAGTAAATGATGAGTATCCAAATTATGTAACAGAATGGTTACATAAATAAAAGCTGATAGGCTGGGTATCCAACACTGGCTACAGAGAATGACAGTTAATAGAGAAGGGTGTAAACGTCTTGAAGCAGAACAGCGAGTGTACAACATGAACTACGAACAGCAACTCAAAACGGGCAGGAGAGCGTCCCAGCCAGGTTCCCGAGAGTTTCACTTTGCTCCGACTTGAACTCCACTCTGGAGCAGTCGCCCTACTCAATTTCTCTTCTAAGCCTCTCCTTTTGCTGCCTCTGCCTGAGAGTCTATCAACAACGCAGGCTACTGTTGGGAACTTCTCGGGGGGCGAGGCAGTGATCGCTGGGAATTTCTGACTCTGCTCAGATCACAAAGTCCCCCAGTTAACCGTGACAAGTGCGATGGTGGCAGGGAACTGGAGGCAAGAAACATCGCCTTTTCTAAACTCCCATTTCTCTCGAAAGCTTCCATCTTTTTCACTTCATAGCTTCTGCTCACTTTTACTTTCCCTCTTACTAACTTTTACATAATCACGGGTTTTCAGAGTAGAAATGGATCTCACCCTGGATGTTTTCGTGCTCCATCTAGTCTCACTATATGTGTAGAACCTCCTTTTCTCTAACAGGCTTTAGATGCTGCCTCACCCCACCTCCTTCATCGTCTTGCTCTACTCTCTGCTATCTTGACAAATTCACCTGACACCATTCCCTTTTCTTTGTGCCTGTCTTTTCTCTGCAGGTCCCCTTCCCCAAGTTCTCACAGTATACCAGATTTCATTTCTGTGCTTTACTAGACAGTGTCCCCTTCTTGCTATCTCTTTTCCAAATTGTATTCTCCAAAAATATATGCTACTAATAGTTATAGATGCCAACCCCATGTATTTCCATCTTATAATGTGTTTCTTATTCTACTCGTGGAGTTTTTAAACCAATCATGGCCGAATTTGAAAACATTTATCAAACAAAATGGGTGACTTAAGGCAATAACTTGCAAATAAATAGAATCAGAATCACACAGCAGCAATTAAGGCACTTTCTTAGTATTTCATGGAGACATGTCTAATATCCTCTGTTCTCTGGAATCTAAAAGTTGAACACAGTAGAGAGTCTTTGATGAGATACCTGGTATCTGCAGAAATTAAGGCCACAAGAGATGGCACAGCATGGAGGAAAGAGCACTGTTCTAGGAGTCAAGAGTTGCACGTCCAGGCTCACTTCACTTCTGCATTTATTTTCACAACTTGAGCATGTTCCTTTTTTCTTCTCTTGTCACAGAAGGACTTAACAATGAAAATGAACATATTTTGAAGTACTGAAAGAGCTATATGCATTCCTATTATAGTTCATAGGGAAATGACTTTATATAGAAATTGCTTGATTTTATACATAAATCAAGAAAGAAATGAGAAACTTGGGAATAAAATAGGAGCTCTCCAATCAGCCATTATCTTAACTACTCCTTTGATACTCAAGTGGAGACCCATGTGTCATTATCAAAGCCTTTTCTAACTCCTAGCGACTGACCAGGTTAGCCTTCAATTCCTCAGATTCCTCATCTGTAAAACGGAAGCAACACTGACACTTTTCTCACAGAGTTGTTGGAAACATTAAATAAACAAATATTTGTCAAGTGCAAATATTTGTCAAGCACAGTGCATGGAGTAACTGGGGACAATGGTGATGACGATTCACCCCATACGTATCTCCAGTACACATCAGTGCACAGTAACAGACGAGATGCTGAAAATTCTTTAAGGGGTATCTAGACCAAAGATTATGGAAATTCAAATGGGTAGGACATTACTAGGTGGAAAAAATGCTTATCAATTATGAATTTACATTAACATCATCCTGACATTTATATACCTGACATTTTTATACCACTTCAAAAATTCTGATGTCATACGCTCCATGAATAAAGGAATATTCCCTTTTCTCTAAGTAAATGCCCCAGTGTTGCCATATCCCTCACTGAATGACTCCTTATCTCCTGCAACAACAGTCCTCGTCTTTGTTTTAGCATAATGGTACCCATGCTAGAAGACTTCCACTTCTGTAACACGTTTTCATGAATGTTCTCTGTGTAATATGTAATTCCTAGTGTGCCTGCTGTTTCTGTATCTTTTTCTGCCAACTCAGGAAAATCTACAGGAAAACAAATGAATGAGAGCTGTCTGATCACAAAAATAACTGTCTAACTTAAATACTTCAAAATCATTATTATTAGAAAGTTATGCTACATCTGGCATTGCACTAAGAGGCAACATGCCAGAGTGGTTAGAAATGTGGGTTTTGGAGCCAGATTGTTGGATTCAAACCCCAGCTCTGTCACTTATTAGATGTATGATCTCAGATGAGTTACTTGATTTCCTTCTACCTCACTTGGCTCATTTTTAAAATGGGCTAAATGTAATTCCCACCTTAGAGGGACATGTGAGGATTCAATGATTCAATATACAGGAAATAGTCAGTGAATAGTAAGCATTATCTAAGTATGAACTATTATTTCTTTTATTGTTTTACAGCAATCATGACATGTAATTCTTTTTCATTTCTAAACATGTTCTTCAGTCTTTCCCTGTTAGTAAGAAGCTGAGGACTGTCCCTCCATTCAATCAAGTCAAACCCTAAGTTAAAACCCCACATATAACTGAAACACAAAGAGTGAATGTAAACTATGGAATTTTGCTAATAATAATGTATCAATATTGATTCGTTAATTGTAACAAATGTACTACTAATAGAAAATGTTGATAATTCAAGAAACTGTGTGTGTGTAGGTGTGAAATATAGAACTGTCTATACTATCTGCTCAGTTTTTCTGTAAATACAAAGTTGTTCTTTAAAGAAGTTTAAAGAAGTAAAAGAAAAAAGATAAAATTATTTTCAGTAACACATTGTGTGTAACCCAGTATATGCAAAATGCAACCAATATAAAAAATATTAATGGAATATTTTACACCTTTTTATAAACCTAGTCTTCAAAATCCTGTGTATACTTTAAACTTACAGATCATTGCAATTCAGACTACCCATATTTCAAGTTCTCAGTAGCCAGCCAGATTAAACAGCGCAGGTCTAAAAGACTGATCATTTCAGCAGTCATTGCTCTTACCCTCCATGTACTGGGGGAAGACGTCCCTTGCTGAGCCTTTCTGATCTGGCCTCCTCTTCACCCTCAACTGGACTGAACCTCCTTCGCTAGTTTCTCCCCTAAAGATGTGTGGATCCATCCAAGTCTGACCCATGGCTCAGTGGATGCCAGAACTGGAGGTAAGACCCTAAAATAAAATTCAAACTGTTCCACTGGTAAAAAGCAAACTAATAAAAAACGCCTCAACATCAAAGCCGTTAACGGGTCCTGTCTCCAAAATGTTATTCAAAATTTTTCTGTTCTCTCCACTTACTCTTCTCTGTGCTGGCCCAAGCTCTCCCTGAACACGTAGCCAGTGCCCTGTATTCACGGTGAGCAGCAACAATCCACCCTCCGCCCTGCGGCCAGAGTGCTACTATGAAACTCAAGTCAAATCATACAGCTCCTCTACTGAAAATCAGGCAGTGGCTTCCCGTTTCACTTAAAATAAAACACAAAATGTTTATCATGGCCCATATGGTCTTGTTATTTCTCCAATCACGCATTTCTAGACCTCATCTACCCTGGGTTCTGTCTGTTCCTTAAGCACATGGAGTTTGCTCCGTATCAGGACCTCAGTGCCTTGCTCTCTCTTCTTCCAGTGTTCTTCCCACTTGGATCTTTGCATGCCTGGGTCCTTCTCATCATTCATATCCCAGCTCAGATATCACAGAGACAGGCCCTGTCGGATCACCGTATCCCAGTTAACCTGTTTCCTCTCCCTATCGCTCACTCCGACACACATTAGTTATTTCCTTCATAGCACTTACAGGTAACTAAAGTTGTGGTTTATCTAACTGGTCGCTATATATTATTAGATTATAAGCCTGTGACTGTGGAATATTTTTGCATTGTGTTCACCACTCTCTGCGTAGCAGACCATTGGCTGAGCATCCAAATCCACACTCTCCTATTCCTGGGCACATAGCTGGCTTACAGGCCCTGTCTTGCCTGTAGTTATGTGTGGCCAAATGATTAGCTCCAGTCAATGGAACATGACCAGAAGTGATGGGACCACCGCTGGGTCCGTCTCATGGAAGGACTCCTAGGTGGTCTTCTGTGATCTTTCCCCCTTTGACTGGTTGGCATGGAAGTGACATGCTGGGCACCCAGGGAAGCTACGGGTTGAAGGCACAGCGCTTGTATCAGCCAGGGGAGCTCGGGAGAGCTTAGAGTTGGTCCCTGCTAGTGACCTGTTCATCCAGCCATCCGTCTGGCACCATTGCCTGAGTGAAAAACAAACCTCTGTCCCCTTCTGAGCCATCATCGTTTGTGAGGCTGCTTCTTACAGCTGGTAATCGTAACAGATCCATACCTAGAAAAGTAGCTTATCAATGAATGGTTATTAAATAAACAACTAAAACTGAGTTAAATGTGGAAATGAATGCTTCACTTCATATCACAGTATAAAGCTTTAAGAATAATATGGAGTTTTGTAACTATCAGACACATTGGCATCGATCAACCACTGTTTCCAGATTTTTCTTTAGTGTGAATACTTATTACTGCAGGGTGGGTACATGTAAGGAATCCAGAATGTGAGATCATATTCCAAATTTCTCAATTAAGTCTTTGTGCTCATTTGCCTCGGCTAAAATACTCACTCAATAGGATGTTTTCATGGGGGAAAAAA